GGATCATTGTCATTGGGTATGGTCAACACTGGTGCTGTGCAAAGGGCGTCCTTCAGGCTTGTAAATGCTACTTCTTGTTTGATGGTCCATTCAAAAGTAGCATTGCCTGTTAACGAACTGAGCGGCTTCGCTATCTTGCCGTAATCTTGGATAAACCTTCGGTAGAAGTTGGTAAAACCAAGGAATGCTTGAATGTCTCGTTTGCACTCTGGCCGAGGCCAATTGACGACTCCTTCTATTTTGACCGGGTCCATGCGAACGACGCCCTTTCGTACTATCATGCCGAGGTATTCGACTTCTGTCTTTTCGAACTCGCATTTTTCTGGTTTCAGGTAGAGTTTGTGCTCTCTCAGAGTCTGTAGGACTTGCCGCGTGATCTGACGGTGTTCTTTCAGATCTTGGGTGAAGATCATGATGTCGTCCAGATAAACTACTACGTGTCCTTGACTAATGAGGTCTCGGAATATGTTGTTCATCATGGTTTGGAATGTGGCTGGAGAGTTCGTGAGACCGAAAAACATAACTAGTGGTTCGAATAGTCCTCGGTTCATAAGGAATGCGGCTTTTTCTTCATCGCCTTCTTTGATGCGGATGTTATTATACTCCCATCGGACGTCCAACTTGGTGAAGTACCGTGCTTGTTTTAGTTTATCAACAAGTTCCTGTATCAGGGGAAGCGGGTACCAGTTCTTGATCGTCAGCTCATTTAGCTTTTGATAATCTTGTACCGGCCAGAGACGTCCGTCCTTCTTTTTGACAAAGAAGAAAGGTGAAGCCCAAGGGGATTTAGAGGGTCGAATTTGTCCGGTTCTGAGGTTCTCTTCTATGAATTCATTGAGTTCCTTCTGTTCGCTGACCGATATGGGGTGTACTTTGCAGCTGATCGGTTGTGAGCCTGGTGTCAACTCGATGGCGTGATCCCACGGTCTCCTCTGTGGCAGAGAGTCAAAATCTTCTTTGCTGAACACATCTGAGTAGTCGTGATAGTGGCTTGGGACTGTATTCTCAAATGTTTTAGCCTCGTGTTTCAGACTTTCTTTTATTGCTAGGTCTGTGGCCGTAGTGCGTATACGCGCCGCTCCCGTAGTGAAGTATGTTTTGTAGTCTAAAACAAAGATTCTATCTCCCTCTTTAAGGCGAGCCTCCGGATCGCTGGGTTTCTCCTCATCGTCTTCGATATCAATCGATCGGGCAGTATATCGACAGGCAATTGGGCATCGATCAAACTTAATGACCTGTTCTTGCCAATCAATCGAAGGATTGTAGATTTGAAGCCATTCATAACTGAGGAATATAGGTGTCTTTCCAAGGTTAGTGACAGCAAAAGGAAGTCGTTCCTCGTGATCCTGAATTTTGACCTTCAATTCTACAAAGTCCGTGATAGCGCCGCTGGCATCATGCGTTCCATCGGCAATGTACACTGGGATCGAAAATGGCAACTTTTTAGTAGCGATGTTGTTATCGCGTACAAACTGGGCATCAATGGATGAACCAGTGCATCCCGTATCTAACAGCGCTTTGACTGATGAGCGCTGTTGTGTATCCAGAGTAGTGATGATCATGGGAACATCCATCTGTGTCCCTTTCCTTCCTCGAATGAAGCGAGGTTGTTTCTGTAATTCATTTAGGAAGTCGATTGCTTCCTCTTCTTTCATTTGCCTGATTTGGTTCATACAGACTTCTGATGCATCCACACTCTTCTTTGAGTGTACCCATTCAGTCAGCAATCTAAGTGCCGCTGCTTCCTTGCTGATTATCCACTGGCGGATCCATGCCGCCGTCCATAGAGTGTGGCGCTGCCACTGTGTAGATTCGGTCTGTTGTTTTGGGGTAGGAGATAAATTTTTATTCAGGGGAATTAAGCAAGAGGGTTGAGCCTCTCCGCACTGCTCTGCAGATGCCCTTTTTTTCTGGTATATACATGGGTACTCCAAACCAGGAACACAGATAGTTGGTAAAGTTACGTTCGGTCAACTCGGCTACGCATCTGGCTGACCGCTTGCAAAACCCTTCATGACCACGCAAATTTCTTCGCAAATTGCCATTTTCCAATCGAATGGTTCTGCCGTCACGGCAGGTGCCTCGGCGAGTGGTGTGAAGCTATTGGAGACGGGGATCTCCGGTGTCTCTGTGGCCCTTACTTGTTGGGCCTGTTGCCTATTGGGGCAATTTCGTGAGAGATGGCCCTTCTGGCCACATCGGAAACAGAGACTGAGACGTTGCGCCTGATCCAGCTCCATTGGCTGTCCCCTTCCTCCAAAGGTAACCCTGGTCCCGTCGCGCCATGTCTGGACTGGCGCAGTCGTGGCTACTGGCGCGGCTACGTTAGTCTGCGCTCGTGGTGTGTTCTGCGCCTGTTGTTGTCGAGGCTGGAATTGCCCTTGTCGTTAGGGCTGCGGGTTCCGCCTACGGTACTGCTGTTGATTCAGGTCGATGCGCGCGACCTGTTGTTTGTAGAGAGTGTAGGTGGTCAGAAGTTCTTCTGACGAGTTGTACAGAAGCCAAATAATGTCGGCTCGTAGCGCCTTTTCTAGAAGTGACTTGAGTTCTTGGAAGTGTGCCTCAAAGTCATGGATTTCTGCCTGGAAGGTGCACAGCTCAAATTTGGAAAAGAATTCTTGGGCGTTCAGTGTGCCCATCTGCATTGCTTGCAGTTGCTCGTATGCTTCAGCCTGTTCATCGATCAGAAAATGTTTATCGAGGTCGGCCCAGAGTGCATTGGTCGTCTGGATCACGGTGTCTTCATCTGTGTCATATTTTTTCATGTATGTGGCAACGTATTTGCCCGTGTGTCCTCCTTTCATATAGGAAAGGATCATAAGAACCCTGTCAAACTGTTCTGGTAGCCGCTTCCTTTGCGTGACTACATACAGCCTCATCTGTGTCTTCCAAGCGATGTACTTGAATTTTGTGCCATCGAAGGCATCCGGCTTCATCGCGCTTCCATTGAGGAACGTGGCACTGTCTTGGTTCTTGGTCATTGCGCCAGGATCCGATGGAGAAGATGGTGGGGTGGGAGCAGCGAAGGTGCAGACTTGGTGGTTCAGAATCTTCCAAAGCTTCTTCCACAGGGTCTGATGGACCTTCTGGTGGTGCTTCGGATTCTCCAAGGGCAACTGAGCAGAGATGGTCAGTGACTGATTCAAGAGTGTCTCGTCTAACTCTGGGTTCTGAGCTAGATGCTATGGGTACTGCGAGGGATTCTGACGGTGCCCCGGTGTTTACTCTAGTTAATATTTCTCCGCGTAGTCCTTCTTCGCACCGTGGGCAGCGAGTACTATTTTGTGGAGAGTGTGAGCACAGCTGTTGCACACAATAACGTGTGCGATCGTCTCGTCTGTAGATGGATCTCTCGTCTAGTACCTGATGTAGATATCCTCGGCAGTCACAAGAAAGCGTTGTCATGAGTAGTGATGTGCAGACCGGGCCTCAAAGCCCGCAAGCCCGGCCCAAAAAGCCTGACCTGAGCCAAGCCTGGCAGCGGGCTCAAGGCTGGGCTTGGAGCATAGTCAAGCCCAAGCTCAGCCCGGAAGCCCAGGCTTGGGTGTACCGGCTCTGTTACTGTTCCCTGAGTTCAGGATAAGGTGGGAGAGATCTAAGATGTACATACCAGATATAATATTGATATTTTAGACTCGACGGTTCCCACCGAGCATGATTGTGCATCACCGTTTGGTGCCTGCCGTAGGCGCGCGCTTGTGGGCTTCGCTGCGACTCGACTTATTCCCCGAGTGTACATCTTCTGGAGGCTGAATTCAGTGAGTACACGCAGTAATAATCTACTACATCCAAATATACTCCCTTTTCATAGTACCATGATATTCATTGTATTGTGAGCAAGCCCGGGCTTAAGCCTGCAGCTTGGGCCGGGCTCGGGCTCAGCTCGGGCTCAGGGCTCGGCTCGACGCTGCCACAAGCCCAAGCCCGGGCTTTGAGCCCAAGCCGGGCCCGCACATCACTAGTCATGAGCTATTAGGTCCGTGAAGCTGATTGTAGCAAACCCTGGGACTAATTGTGTTGTAACGACCAGATCAGGGGTAGAGTTCGCCAAAGATGGGAATTTTTGACAAAGAACCGAAAACGCTAATTATGATACAGATCTAGAGATACTGTAGCAGCCCAAAGAACGATTATGTCTCTTCGGTCCGACACCCGGAACGGGATCGTCGATCCAACTGCTACCACCTTTTCGACGCCCAGTCGCAACCGGTTGCCACGTTGTACTTGGGAATATCCGCTTGCACTGCGCAAAGCGTGTAACTCTGCCTATGGTAGGGCAAAGTACGATTCTAATAGGACGGAGCTCTGTCTAGCCGCCTAAGGGCTAGTGATTACAGAGGTGACTTTGGGGATGTGATGTGGTAAAAAATGTGCAAGTGCACGGAGAAGGGTTCCAGGGGTCTTGATGCGGTAGAATTCGATAGGGTTAGGATTGGGGCGAGATTTTGAATGGACGGGTATGGGGGATCGTCGTGTGGAGATGGGTGATGGTTGGTGTGGGAGTGACGAGGATCGTCATAGGGCAGTTGGTGGAGACTCGAGCTAATGTCAGCAACCTACAATCCAACTGGACTGGGCTACGACAAGAGTGAGGAGACAGACGAGAGGAAAGTGGGTGAGTAAAGACCAGCTCGAGTCTGGCTTGTTATTGAGCAGTACAGGCTCCTTATATACATGTCAGACTCAATACCTAGATTATACTACGAATATATGGAGGTGTTTAGAAAGTGAAAGAATACTATGGAATCCGGGAGAACCATCTGGAGTATGTAATATTCATGACAAGAAGTATGATCTCTTGGCGCTCCATTTCCTCAGCGAAAGCAAGGTGCATATTAGCGACGGACACAGGAAAACAAGATACCGCTCGTCTACCGCCTGCTTGTGACGAAGATGGCTGGGGGGCGCGAAAGATTCATGGGACATCGTCGCCCTCGAGTGGGACATTTTCAGCCAAATGGCCGGCCACCGTGGGTTTGATCGGCAGTGCCTTTCAACGCCCGACTGACAGAGCTCTGCGCAGGATAGCTGGTATCGACCCTTCGTTAATGTCACTCCCGCGCGTGCTCTGCCGTCGCCGGGACATTATGCAACGTCTGCGGGCCAAGATCGACGAGGACACGCCCGACCCACTCGTCATTTTGCTGCGCAAGCACCCTCAACAAGTGCCAGATGTGGACCACAGGACTTTTTTTTGTACGGCAGTTGCCTCAACGCTGTCGCCTCTGTCGTAGCTCACGGAATTCAGCCCGAAGTCTCACAACATATTTCGCTGTGCGCACGACGCGCCGCGGGTCCCGATCCCGACTAACACCACCCGCCACGAAGGGTTTAACATGATGGACTAAGCGCTCCCGCCGGAGACAGTCATCACGACGCAGGCGTGGGATATGCGCCAAGGCTGAGGACGTCTTCCGCGAGCGTGGAGAAGCTGTTGCTCGAGCGCTGGCTAGTGGTCGCGCGGAGAGTGAGAGGGGAGAGGAGGTGCGGCTCGCGAGGTGCGTTCTCGCGTGGATTGATACGAGGGTAGCGGAGCTGACGAGAGCCGCACGATTCACCGGCACTGGGCACTGTTCGGTGCGGGCATGTGCCAGTGTACTCGGCGCAACTGATCATGCACATTATCGCCGCCGCCGCCGGGCGAAACTGCGAAGGCCGGGCGAACAGGGCGGGAGACGGATAATCAGGCGGTAAGCGTGCGCGATACGTTCGTGAGTGCCCGTTCATCCGTCGATGAGCGAACATTAAGTGCTGACAGAGATGGGCCGGGTGCCGTATTAGGCCGCCAGGAAGTGCGAACTCCTGTTGGTGCCGATGCGTCAGTGGTCTGGAGCGCGGGCTCCTAGTCTTGAAGTGGCTACTCTGTTGCCCATCGCCGGATATTTTCTCATGTAGACATCTGATTCGTTCGCACATCCTAATCGCTCTCGCGCACGCCCGTTTCGTTCAATTCTGATTTTCATTTTGCTTTGAACTTGAAGTTCGTCCAATAACATTGTCGATGGGCTGAGTCTCGTCAGCTCTACGGAACGCTATTAAGCATACTGCATGCCATTTCTTCATCTTATTATAAAACATAGACATAGCCTGACTCCTTGAGAGACATCATCGTAAAGCAGTTCTATCCCAGTGGCAAATTTCCTATATGAGCCAACGTCCTAGCCACCACCTCCGCACCACCTTCGTATCTGCTCTGCCCGACAGCCTTACCCTGTCCTTGGCCCACTCAACCACTACGCTTTGACAATCTCGGCCGCTATAGAACACTGATCGGCCGCCTGCGGGGAGATGAGCACAGACCATAATACACACCTCGAACCGCTCAGCCGCCGTGCTCTAGGCCCCCTCCAGCAGATGGCCCAGCCACCGTCCCAGAACTCGCACCCGCAGATGGTCCGCGTGCGCGCGCGGCTACAAGCTCCTCCAGGTATTCATCGCCCTTTCCCTGACCATCGCGAATAATCCACTCGACTTGTTCGGCGGCGTCGAGAGTGATCGTGGCGTCGTCGATGGTGTGCTCCGAGTTCACTTGCAGGGATAGGATGTCTTGACTGTTGAGAACACGGAGACCCTGGGGGCCAGGAAACTCGAACTTGAGTTTGTGTGACTTGAGAGCCCAGTCCAACTGCGTCCCCTGCAAGACGGAGCACAGGATCGCTTTCAAATTCTCGAACTCCGGGCCATCCAGTGTTTCGCTCTGGAAACGAAGACAGTCGAAGAGTGGAGCATCCACGATCGAATGGAAGGCGTCGAAACGCAGGGATTCAATGGCCTGTGCGTCAGGGAACAAAAATAAGAGGTAGATAGAGTCGATGAATGCGGATGGGGGCCCAACACTTTGGCTTGCACTCGCATGGCGTACGCAAATAGAGGCGAATATATAAGTGCCACGCAACCAGATTATGTCGTCCTCGCTTGGACCGAGAACAACGTTCGCCACCTCTGACAAAGGACATTTAGCACGAGCCCTAGTGTCTGAGCTGATTAGAAGACATACTGAGCGATTTGTCCTCCGGTTGCCGGATTTCAACGCGTACATCTTGAAATGTTACGGGTGCCAATGCAAGTAGTGCATGAAGAACAGCATTCCATGTGTGGGCATCGAGGCCGACGCGGGTGACAATCGAGAGGACATCAGAGGCAAGTGCTGCTTTTGCGGAAAGCGGTATTGCCTCGCATCGCAATACTTGGCATTGGAAGAGAGGTGACGAAAGTCTTCGTGGACTCCTGCGGGATTGGACGACCGGTGACGGGTCAAGGAAGGTCAGTTGGTTGCAAACGAGAAGCTGGAGGGATGGGAAGCTGTCAACGAGCAGCGCGAGCTCTGTCGCACTCGCAAATTGTAGCTTCGTGAGTATAAGGCTGGCGAATCGCAGGCTGGATGGTGGGGGCACCCTGGGCAACAAACGGAACAGGTCACGGCGGACGACCGTCGAACTAGATCCATTCGTGGAGCTCAAGTAATAGTCGAACTGTGTTTCTTGAAGTCGAGATGACAACCAGTGGACGTGATGGAGCCATGCCGGCTTCGTCTGAGCAGCCTCCTCATGTATATTCACAAGCTGGATTGCGCCAGATAGAGACGACGTCCGGAATCGGGGACTGTCGACGATGTTCCGTAACATACGTACATCTTCTGCGCTGCGCAATTCAAGTCTTGAGAAGAGGAGAGGTCTGATGAGTTATAAGCCCGTGACTTGCAACTTCGGCGTTCGCCAACCTCCAGCGGTAACCACCGGTGTTCGCCGGTGGCCATTGGTGTTTGCCGGCGGTCCTTGCCATATACGGGTGCGTCGCCGTGAGCGCTTGTGAACACCACCGTTCGTTGTCCACTGGAACCCATCGGAATACAGCAGCAACTGGTGAATATTGCTGTGTATCAGTGGCAAGTAGTGGGGTATGTTGGGATATACCAGTGTTCAGCATGCCACGCTGGCTGCCACTGGTATTTGGTCTGGTCGATTCACATGGCAGGTGGCAGACACCACCAAACACTGGTGACATCCACTGGCAGGCAGCGGCCACTATCCATCAGCATATGCTGTTTATTGTTAGTATATGTCATTGAATAATAATTTTTTGCATTTTTCACTGGTCTTTGGGCAGAAGTGTGTGACATTGGGCCATGGTGTGTGACTTGCTTTCCAGGTTGGGCTAACTCTCATGAACAAATTGTTTTAAGACTAGTATCTGGCAGGTTTGGTCTCATGCTTTGTGCATAGATGGCTTATATTACACATATTCTCACTCAGAGAATATACATTTACCTGAGAATCACAACAACAAGGTTCATAGCTGTTGAAATATTAATGTAACTGCTGGCAGCCTGCCCCCACTGCCTGATAGCTCATTCCTGAGCTTATAGAAAGTTTATAAAAAATCTCAGGAGCCTCTAACCAGGTCTGTGTAGTATAATATGCTTCAAAGAA